GTCTCCGCATAACCAGAACAGTAATCTTTGGAGCTGGAGTTGGCTCTATAGGCAAATTCCTGGTGCATGTAACAACATTTCTAAGGCTTTGAGGAGCATAAATTGAACCTGAAGAGGTGTCATGACCTACCATCTGGACTATAAAACTTGGATCAGGGTGTAGTAGTTAACTGTTTTCTTTCTACAGGAAACTGTCACTTGTTTTGCACTCTTGCTTTTTTTTTTTCCCCCCCTCTTCTTTATAATAAGCCAATATAAAGCCTTGTCTGGGAACATCTGAGTAAAGAATAACAGTCAACAAATGCCTACATAGCTAGGTATAATATTTACAGTGCATTGTTCGTGGCTAACATGTACCAGTTCCTTGGTGATTAAAATACAATGCATTAAAAGTAGAGTAAATGTTTCATTTCAGAATCCTTAGCGTGTTTGTTCCTGTGTCTCTACTGTCTCTACTTAACATCGTTCACAGTTACATTTGGGAGGCATAAATTATAAAAACAGAGGGTACCAAAATCTTGAAGAGAAAAAAACCAAAACACTGCTTTATGGCTTTCTAAAAAAAACCAAAAAACAGAAAACATTTTTTTTCCCTACCTTCCTTGAGAATCATCAGCCTCTTCAGGCTAAGACCTTTTTCAAGTCTGGTTCTGTTACTTTGTTGGCAGTAGATTTGGTTTAGAACATGCTCTTGTTATCTCCCAAGAGGTGCCTCCTTACTCCGCTCTCTCTCAGGCGTGCTAGCACGATTGTTTATAGTGCTACTGTCTACGTAGGTTCTGTGAAATGATCTTTTTTTACATAAAAAGGAATAGCAAAAAGTGTTTCTTAAAACTGAATCGTTTAGCAAGCTGATATTAAGTTCATGGCCAGAGAAAGAGCAGGCTTGGCACAAGTGAGAGGGCGGGAACGAACACCTCATCTCTTTTACTCTGTAGCTACCTAAATATTTTAAACTGACATGAGCTGGTGCTGCAGCAGGAGGAAAAAAGATGTTGCTTTCGTTATTACATTCATCCCTGTTTCCACATCCCTTGGCAGAAGAAACGTTTTTTGGCAGCCATGCAGTAAACTAAGTCAAGAAAATGATATGGCTGAAAAAAATCAGTGTAATTTTGTTATGTTAGTTTCCAGCTGGAGCAGCTCTGCAATCTGGTTGCCCATGTGCATCCCCAAATGTGGTGAAGAAGCATTTGGAAGCAGACTTATGTTTGCTTAAAGTGCTTGTCAAGCTGCAGCCTTACAGTGAGTTTGCTACTGAAAGAACAGCAATCTGGAACTACAGTTCTTATAACTGACTAAATCTGTGATTGCTGAATTTCTGTTTAATTTAAAAAAAGGATGACACAGGAAACATTGTTTTGTAACCCAGGTATATTTCAAAGTTTTCTTATGCAGCAAAAACTAAAGTTTTTGCATCTAATGACAGTAAGATAGAAGGGACATGTTGTAAACAATGCTGCTGAGATAAATTTATTAAACATAGAGCCAGGATTTGAGCAATAACCCTGCTGTTTGTCCACTGGTCTTCCGTGTGCTGTCTGTCAAGCTACATAATCTGTTTGCTTTTCTATTTCTTTTGTTGTTTTTAATGACAAAGCTCTGTAACTTGGAGTAATCATCAAAGATACAGTCCTGTACAGTACATAGACTGGTTTTTTGTAAGAATCTACTTATCTGTCAGTCATGTCAATGATTAGAGAGTATCAGTGTTACGTATACTACATACTGTCATTTTGATATAATCAAAATGGGAAGTATGAACTTTGTGTGTTATCAGTATTCTTTTGGGGCAGATCAAAAGGGTTTTTCTTCCACCTTCATCCCAAATTCTGAAGTTGTGTTCTAACCTCGTTGTTTTCCTCTTTTGTGGCCACTTTTTTTGAAGCTTTATATTTGTCCAAACGCATTCAGTAATTTTTGGCAGACTTAGAATCATGTGCATAGCAAAACACTGAGAACTTAATCATTTTTTATCTATGAAAAATTCTTTAAAAACATGATGTCTATTAACTTAGCTGCTGTTGGCGTTGTTCATCATGTATACTGTTTTCTGTTATTTGAATTCATCCTGGAGTCTGGTTGGGTTTTTTTCCCTAGTTTTTTATATCCTTGAGTATAGTGTGCGCTTAAAAATTTGACTGGTGAGGACAAGAATTCTGTGTTGCATACTTCCTTCTCCCTACATCCCTTATTTTACTTTTAATCCTCTTCCCATGCAGAACCAAATCTCTATCTTCCTCCGCCCCACCTCCAGACTTCACAGAAGTTGAAGAGCCATGAATAGACAGCATTTTAGGATCTGGAGACTCCATTGGGTCAGTCCTACAAATCTGGGCTTCCAGTGCCCCATCCCACAACTGGCATATTGGTATTTTGCTGGTCATGGGTCTTGGTGAAAGACAATTTAGGAGGGGAAGAAGGCACAGAAACAGTGTTTTTTCTTGAAGGTCTTGTTCACTAGTACCTTCAACAGCTTATGAAATGTTTGTGAAAAATTTCCAGTAAACTCTGTGGTTATGACCTCCTCTGGAGGTCTCCAGAGGATTTTTAAATCAGAAAGGCTAAAATTTGAGTATGTGTAATAGAAATAGTCAACTCTACGTTATTTACAGTAAAGATTGGGAAAGGGAAAATAACCCAAATAAAAGGGGAAACAATGTAAGATAAATGATGGAGAATTAATTACAGGTACATATTTGGGAAAAAAAAAAATTGTGTCTGGTTTTCTGTGGAGAGCAGGGTCAGCTTTACAACAGTAACAGGTAGTGTGGGGTCTCCTAGAAGCAGCACTGTACTTTATGGAAGCCGGGGCTTTTGGTGAAAAGCTGACCCTATTTAACCTGCAATTTACATAATCTTCTCATGGACAATAGAGAGTTAATTGTATTCCGGCTTCTGCACAAGCAAGCTAAATTTTAGGCAAAAACTGTCTTGTGGTAGCCCTTTAAAGTAAAGGCACAAATTACAAGAATGAATGCTATCTGAACCCTAGTAGCTTTTCATCTTATAATAATAATTCTTTACATATGCATGCATGAAATTTAGTATGGAAATTGCAAAGTGAGAGGTTTTTGTCTTCATTATAATGAAGTGCCATTAAAACAAGAACTTAGGTAAACCAATCCAAGAGCTCTGTGAAACAGTACAAATTAGCTAAGCTGTTTATGCTATTGGAGTAAAGCTTGCAAAATAAGATTAAAAGAGATTATTTTTAACAAAATTGAGAAATCTATCTGGAATGTCAAAGAACGTTTCCAGCAAACTATTATGAGTGCTGATGGCTGTTGGCATGGAGGGACGTGATCTGCACTGATCCCACTGCAAGATCAGAGACATATTGTGATAGTTATGTTTACTCAATAATCTACTGTGATTTTTTTTAAGTTTATAAAATATCTGTGGCCACTTGCTGAATATCTGTAGCCATAGATTTAAATTCAGAAGGTCATCTATGGTACAGATGCTGATTTAAAAAAAAAAAAAAATTCATCTCTTAGTAATGCTAAAAATATCGGTAAATCAGTCTGTATGAATCAAATGAGTGATCTTCTTAGGAACGTTTCAGGCTGGCTTTTAAATTTTCAAAATGAATTTCTGCTGGCAAAAATAGTGAGGAAATAAATGGACATTTACCATTGTATGTTGTAAGACCGTAAAGTTGAGATGAACACTTATTTCTCCAAGTGGTCTTTATGATGTAAAATATTGAAATGTAGTTTAGGGAACTGAAACTGGAACAAGCAATCCGAAGTCCTGCGTTACAAAGTAGAGGTGCTGTCTCTGTGGTGGAGCAGGACCTAACCGTAATGCAGTTTGACCCAGTGCTTCGTGGGATGCCAGATTTAAGTGCCTATAGAGATTAAGTGCAAGGCACGTATATCACCATGTGCTGGATAGTTTCAGCACTTCTGAGCAGCACCACATTCACAGGGCAAATCCAGAATACCTGTACTGAACTGTGCTACTAGTCCAGTAGTTTGGAGTTTACCATGCATGGACCCTGGAAACTGAGCACTCCTAACATGCGGCGGGCCAGTGAACTCTCTCTGAAGCGCTGCTTTCCCGCTGAAGCGCCCCTGTAAGCAGTTCTGCTGAAGAGAAGAGCCTCTCATATGCTCTAACCGAACTACTCCTGAGAAACCGACCAACGGAATGCAAAATGCAACTGAAATATTTGAGAATATATTGGGGGAGGTATTTAATCTCTGAGCCTTAAGTCAAGCAATAATTCAGATATATTCTGTAGCAGAAAGAACACAGAAGTGGATTAAACCAGACATAAAACAGGAAGATGTAAATTAGTTTGTGGGAGAAAATGACAAGTCCAAGCTTTCTAGTGACTGAGTAGCTGGAAACACTGAATAGGTGTCCCTAGCCTCTCTGGGTGGTAAATGCGGTCTTTCTGAGGAAACTGGTACAGCTGTGTGTAGTAACCCTCTGAAAAAGTTGACAAATGGAAGAAAGGGTTTTGTCCTTCAGTTGCTACTGGTCATTAAAGCTATATTAACATAATGCTCCTTTGAAAGGTATCTTCTAACAGAACTGAAGTACAGCTGTAAAGACATGAGAGATAATAAGTCCCACAAAGATGCAACCTGTTCATCTCTTTTTCAGGGTCCATCTCGTACAGGGACCTCCTTTTTTCCACAAAGAAAGAGGAAAAAATCTTTCTGTAATAAGCATTTTAGTAAAATTCATTAGGTGGGCTTTCTGGGTTTTTTTGTTTGTTTGTTTTTTGTTTGTTTTGTTTTTGTTTGTTTGTTTAAGTTCTAGAAGTTTGAAGTACTTTGTCATGAAAACACTGATAAAAACCTTAGAAAATGAGCCGTTCACCTTTGTCTACCCAGATCCTCAGCCATTGAAAGTCAGTGTTGCTTCAATAAAGCTGCTCCGTACTGGTGCTAGTGTTGAAAACAGGTTTCGAGTCAGACAGAAATTGTGGAGCACTGAATTGCTGGCTTATGCTCTTGAATTGTGTGCCCATGAAATAACCTCTACTTCTGAGACCACGAGAAGAAGATATAAACACTGTGCCTCTAATTTTAGGCACCCACTTAGATGCCTAAGCTAAGACACTTGCCTTCATGTGTATCTTATCCAGGCAGCGCAGGAACAAATCAGCCTTCTCAATTAAATACCTGAGCTGACTTTACCCAGCTTCGCAGCTGAGTTCCTAGGTTTAAGTCCAGGCTTTGCAACACCTACTTGCTGAACAGTTGCAATTATTAAGAGCAGTATGAGATGTTATTAGGGCATGTTTTGGAGCTTCTCTTCCGTTCAACAAGGCTAAAATTCATATCAAAGTGGTCAAAAGATGTTTTTTTATGTCATTTCCAAGCGTGGAGAAGCCCTTGGATGTCCTGCCCTACTCAAATTATACATTTTGTTTCAGTTTCCCAGTTCAGATGTTGATTCTGTTTCCATTAGATGTTTGCTGTTGTTTCCTGCAGAGTGTAATAAACGATATAAATCAAGTAGTCGTGTTTTAAAGAATTACAAACCCATAAGGAGTTTAATTTGTCTCCTGAAGAGAGAGCCAGCCACTGGGTGGACTGGTTGTGAGTAGAGTAGTTAATGGTTCATTGGTAACCATTAAGCAACTCGAAAATATCTGTCCTTTGAGAGTAAGCTGAGCTCTGCTAAGCAAAGGAAAGGGGAAAGGAAAAAAAAAAAAAAAAGCATAGGCTAGCAGCAGGATCACAATGCCATCATTTAAATGGGATGTTGCCATTGGAGGGTTAGAATAGCTTCTCGCAGGGAAGTATAATAGAAATGTATCTTTGCTATGTCTTTAAAAGCACTTGAGATGGCAGTTTTATTGAATACAAATACATTTATATTGATTCATAAAAAGTAACCTGTTACAAAGCAATGCAATTGTTGGCACCATTTGTTAAGTGTAAGGCAGAAGTACTTCAATAAGCCGTTAAGAATGAATTTTCACAAGCACTTTAACTGAAGTTCAGCTTTTTCCAGCTTGCACCAAATACAGCAATTGATTATTTAAGTCCTATGCAAACTATTGCAAACTTGATTCTACTCTGACAACCTTGAATGACTTAAGTCAGAGGCTCTGTACAACTAGCAGCCCTGTGAACCTCTCCACAAGCAGTCCAGTGCTGTTCTTCAGGGACTTTCTCCGACCTTAGTCGTTATTGGTCCATTTGTTCTTTACATCCTTTGCTGAGATACCAAAATGGTGATCGCCTGAGATGTAATAATCCATGTACTGGAGGGAAAAACACTCTGAAACTAATCGGAAGGTGAATAATTTTGAACAATAACAAGTTTTCATTGTTGGTTGCCTGGGACAGTATGTGCAGTAAGTCTGGTCTGAGCTAAAGGGCTCCAATGCACTTTAACTCGGTCTCCTCAAGGGTTATAAACCTTGCAATGTGGCTGAGATAACTGATTAGTTATGTTTTTAAGAAATGACTAACTGAGGAACCTAAGATGTCCTGATCAGTAACGTGGAGATTTTCTTCTAGTTTTGGGCAAGACATAAAACTTCATGCAAAATGAAACATTTTTCTAGCTTTATCATTCCAACTGCTAAATTGATTTCACTTTATTAGTTTATTATATTGTTTAAGGTGCAGAAAATATCCATATGTTAAAATGTCAACAGTTAAATGTATTGCTCTTCCAGGAAAGAAGCAATTGACTCAAATAGTGGAAGAAATGGTTTTGTATGTTAGTGATTTGCCTTAAGGCTGCTGTTTGGAGAGTCTTGCTGGGGTTTAATAAATCTGCTGCTATCTTAAAAAAAAAAAAAAAAAAAAAGGACGTTATCTCAAAATCAACCGAAAACTTGCTCTGAACAAGTTCTGTACCCTCCTTATCTCAGCATTTCCACTATACAACATTTTGTTATTACTGTGTGTGTGTGTAAAAAGTTCCCCGCTGGTCAAATTGCTTCCCTTTCCTCTGCCTCCCACAATACTTGGGAATAAATAACTGAGGGAGAAGTTGTCTGTCCAGACTCAGTTTACAGATTTTTCTA